GTCATTTAATGACTCACAGTGTGTAGGTTCTATATCCGTGATTCTTCCCTCTCCTTTAGGCCTGACATTTTATAATGTGTACTTTAATCTCCAGGAACCCAGAGGCTGTTTTAATTTCTGCAATATGCACAGCAGCTCAGAGGCGCATCACACACAGACTGTGCGTAGCCTACACACTTGTTGTCTAGGCCCTTTTATGCTTAAAGTCAGTTGCAGAGAGGATAATATGGTTCATTAAGCATACATATGCTTTTCCATGAGAGGATATTTAATTGTAAATGAAGCCATTTAGGAGAGAGTTGTCAGTGAGCTGTGGTGTGTCTGATGGTCTGTCAAAAAATAGGCTACAGGATCCCCAGAGTGTCTGTCACCAAAGTGATGACCTCTCGCTAAATGGTGTCTCAGTAATTCCGTGAGGAAAACTTAATAAAAATTGCAAAGTCTGAGCACTCGAAAAACAAAAGTTTCCAGTTTTTAGGACTTAAAATGAGTCCTGCAGATTTGTTAAAAGCCTGTGTCTGGGTCTAATGCCACTTAATGCAATTAGCATCCATCTAATGAGGATGCGGAGATTTCGCAGTCAAACACTGAGAGTAGTTTTTATACATGCCATGACAAAATGTCCTCTCTGTATTCAGCAGCAGCTCTCAGCGTCTCGCAGGTAAATTGACAGAAATGACAAGATAATGAACTACAGGAAGTACTGAAAAGAGAGAATATTTTCCTTACCAACATGCTGTTGTGTAACAACCAGGGCTGATCTTTCTGTCAGAAATTAGGCACACCACACAATATTCCCTTTATGAGATGCAGACTGTGTTTGAGAGCAGTCGGCAGCTCTAATGATGTAGCTTTGAACTGCCTGACTCCTCATGATCACATTGCTTCCTTCATCATTTTCCTTTAGCCTTTATAATGGCACAGGTGTTCGTGTCCCTCAGAAAAACTGCATGCTATAACCAAACAAATACTTGTACCCTGGCCACAGGCAAAGACATTTTCAACATAAATAGCTCTGCATAGAAAAATGTTCTGTTTTCTTAAGGGGGGAAGGGGTTTGGAACAAGTGTGTATAAAGAGAGATGATTTTCTGTTGATTATCTTCTGTTACTGGTGTGCAGATTTCTTTTTCTGAGCTTTTCAGAACATCCACTTCCTCAATGCAATCTTAGGAAATTGTTCTAATAATTAGGTTGCATGCATTAGAGAAAATTGCACTGTTTCATTATTCTCAAGTTAAATACAAAATGGATTTAATAACAGTGTGACATTTATAATGCAAAATACCCCTTCCAGGTGATATGAAGAGAGTAATTAAATAGTTGTGTATTGGTTTGATTTAGTAACATTTCATTAGAGGTTGGCTTTTGTCAAAGCTCTTGCAGTGCATTCTATACTGAGAATAAATGGTTTGTTCTTTAAATGCTAGAGAGTATGGTAGAGCATAAAGAGAAGGAGAGAATGGATGGGGAGGCAAGAGACCCAGGGTTCAAACCCAGTAAGGGTTCCTCTTTGTTAGGCACTGGAGCATAAAGAAGAAATGGGAAGCCGGTGAGGGATCATATTGCTGCTTCAGACACTCACACTTGTTGTTTGGGACACCTGCACATAGGAGAGATACATATGGAAGCTTGTGGTACATCCTCCTGCTGAAAACAAATGACTGGTGGCAGCATGAATATCCGACAGTGGTGTTGGCAGTGACATGAAATGCACATCAGGTGAGTTAGGAATCCTACCTTGGAGAGGAGAGTGAGAAATAAACAAAAACACCTCAAGCTGAAGTATTTTTCACAATGAATACCTTTGGCGTTTTTCTTTTCAGAGCTTGCTGGGAATACTACTCTGCCCGGCTTGTGTCAGAAAATCATTTCTTTGTATGTGTTTTTTCTCCTCAGGTGTCGGCACAGCCTCAATCTGGCATCTACCAATAAAATGAGCCCACCAGACACATCCAACGCCACAAGCGAAGGGGAGGCTGCTGAAACCGAGCCCTGGTTTCTACTTAACGACAGCCTGGGTTTACACCCACCTGGTTTCCACACAGACATCACCAAGCACCTTGGAGTCCAGATCACTCTGATCACAGCTTACTCCCTAATCATTCTGCTGGGGCTGCTGGGGAACGCTCTTGTCATATACATGATTACTCGCTATAAAAACATGCGAACAGTGACCAACTTCTTCATAGCCAACCTGGCTTTGGCAGACCTCCTGGTGGACACTCTCTGCTTGCCCTTCACTTTGGTTTACACTCTGCTAGATGAGTGGAAGTTTGGGGCTGTGCTGTGCCACATGGTGCCGTTTGCCCAGGCTCTGAGTGTGCACGTATCCATCCTGACCCTGACTGTCATTGCTTTGGAGCGTTATCGCTGCATCGTCTTCCACCTTGGCCGGCGCCTCACATGGCACTCCAGCTTCCTCATCATGGCATTCACCTGGACTATGTCTGCTGTCCTGGCAGCGCCCCTGGCCATCTTCAGAGAGTACCGCTATGAAGAGATCCCTTCCATCAACCTGCGTATCGCTGTCTGCTCTGAGAAGTGGCCCCATGGGACCGGCAGGGACGGAGTCATCTACAGCCTCTCAATGCTGCTCCTACAGTACATTCTTCCTTTAGCCATCATCAGTTACGCTTACATCTGCATCTGGGTCAAACTGAAGAATCACATCAGCCCGTCCAGCCGCAACGACAGCATCAACCGCCGCAAAAAGACCACCAAGATGTTGGCGCTGGTGGTGGTGGTGTTCGCTATCTGCTGGCTGCCTTTCCATGTGTTTCAGCTGGCCAGTGATCTGGACCTGGTGCTCAGGTTTAAGGAGTACAAACTGATATACACAGTGTTCCATATCATAGCTATGTGTTCGACATTTACCAACCCCGTCCTGTATGGGTGGATGAATAAAAACTACAGGAATGGCTTCCTCATGGTCTTCCGTTGCGAGGATAAGCCAGATTCTTTCCACCCTGAGGGCTCGTTCAGGACACGCTCCACAAGAAGGCTGACTCTGAATGGCCGTAATGGCGGACACCCTCCGACTGCTGTATGAAATAAACACAATTTCAAAAAGCCTGTAGGATGTGACTGAACACAGCAAACGCAGCTCTGGTTTGTGGCACCTGTGGTTCAAAAAAAGATGCCTTTTGACTTGAATGGCCTGATCTTGAGTATCCATGTCACTGGAGAGGGCTCAAAGCTTTGCATGCAAATTGCTTTATGTAAGGCTCTTCTTTCCTTTGTGAATGGTACTAGTGAAAATACAGTTGTCAAACCTGTTCAAATATGTGTTTAAGATGTTTACTGGGGTGTTAATTAACTTGTTACAATGTATTATGTGTCTCCTGTAATGCAGAACTCTTGTTGGTAAGTAATGTCCAATTAATTATGCACTCCATTGCATACACCGTCTGAGGCTATTAATGTGTTCTTACTAACTGAGGGGATGAAGGTGATTATTGTGACTGTTTGAACAAGTTTTGTTTTTCACACTTGTTTTTCTTTTTTTTGGATGACTTCCGCTTAATTAATCCAAATGCGGCGTTTCGGATTAATTCCAACGTTCTTGCAGAGTAACATTGAATCCTCGTCCAAGGAATCCAGAGGAGTCTATTTTCTGTCCAACCAGGAAGTTAATTGTGTTCACCTGGCAACCAGCTGTTCAGGTTTAGATAGGCCAGCAGGACTCTGCGTCCAAATGAATGGGATCAAAAACCACTGAACTGTGTGTGAGAGTTCTTGATATGTTCGTCAAATGATTTTGGGCAGCTGCTTTGAGAATATGTAAAAAGGGGATTTGGAAGAAGACGAAACATGCTATTCTACACTTGGCTGCTGAAGTGTCCTTTGTTGGTGGTCTTTTAATAATGAACACGGGAACATTCATCAACCACACAGCCTCTGGGCACACATACTGAGCACCCGCTGCGCACATAACTCCCAGAGTTCATTTGACCAACAGGAGAAATTATGTTTTGTGTTTCAAATAATCAGACCTTGGCAGAGTTGATTCAAGTAAGGACGGAGTAAGGGAAATGTTTGTAATGGGTGCAGAGTAAAACTGAAAATAGTGGTACATTACAACAAGTATTGAAGGCCGACACCATAAGTAGACTACTCAAAACTTCTGGGGGTAGTAGCCCATGCTGTGGTGCATGCACCCTCCTTACTTAAGACTAATACAGGAAAGATAAACTTCAACTCTCTGACCCTGACAGCTGGAAAATCCATTTATTGATGGGAAGACAGTCTACGAGAAAGTAAACTAGAAGCAATGCACTCACAACATTGGAGTGAATCAGAGTCCCACACATAAACATTCAGACTTCATTTTTAACCAAACAAAAAAAGAACCAGTGGGTCAATAACAGCCAATAAAGCATTCGATGAACAACCAGACAAACGTGGCCTACTCAGTGTGATTCATTTTTACAGCAGAGATGTATGTATTGGTTTTGTAATGCTGGTTCTTGACACACACACTGATTTCCTGGCTTAGCCTATATTCCTTTATGTAGCCTACTGTATATTATTATAGAAGCTTTAAGTCTTTATTGGTACTACCCGCCGACGAACGCTGAGCTCAGACCCATGGCATTAAACCCATGGGGAGCTAATGTGTGAAGATTTTGCTGCAGACTGGAGATATGATGGAGGGATGATTTTAGTACGCGTAAGAGATTATCCATCTGTCCCAAAGTAACCTACAGAGTGCTGAGGGGGATAAATTGTATTTCCAAAAATAGCAAGGCAAAATCAGATTAACTGCCATAATGTTGTTGTTTCTTTTTTACCTTTAAGTTAAAGGTCACTTTTCAGATGCCATTTTTAGTTGTTTTGACAGCATTACATGACATTTGACCCAATATTTTTCATCTAAATCCACTCTTAGGACGTCAAATAAATGCTGTGGTTGCATTTTGCACAGTCGCCTGCTGCCCTCTAGTGTTCAAAATGGACGCCGCATTTGCTCCACCTACCGGATGTGACGTCGGAGTTTGACCTTCCCTCAGGTCCGAGTCACGTTTGACATGAATTGCTGGTGGCCGCACGGTGAAGTTCGTTCCGACAGGAGTTTAACATGCGAATACTTCTCTTTTGAATGCTGTCGCCATTCAGGTAACTACCCTTGCCTTTTAAATGGACGCGTTAATTCGCCAGTTAAACGTCGGTGAAAGCTAGCTCTGTGCTAACTGTGCTATTCATTCATAAGGTTAGCTTCATGCTAGGCTAGCTCATGCTTTCGAGGAAGCTAAGGAGAGCGGACGTGACAAATGTGACAGTAACGGTGTACCTGATGTCAGCCAGTTACTGTTTACGTGCTCATCGGTGTATGCTGTTAGTGTTGGCCATATTGCATGTCATAAGCCACCCTAGAAAGCTCAGCGTGGGGTTTGCTCGGTAATATATTTTTAGCTGACTGACAGCTGCTATGTAACGTTAGAGTTTAGCTGGAAAGTTCGGGAAAATGCGTTTCTCTGCCAAACTAAGTCAGATAATTAACGGTCTGCTTTGTAAATAATTTATCTTGCTTGTTGATACTATGGAGTACACAAACACGAACTTCCATAATCGTCTAAATAGCTGTTGTGTGTTTGCAGTTAGCCTCGGGGTCGTCCGGAGTTTATTTGTAAGCTAAGTTACACAAACGCAGCAAACTAACCCGCTTTGTTTGTTCCGCATCTCCACAGGGTAACGGACTGCCAGAGGAAACACAGGGCACAATGGTGAAGTATTTCTGCTGCGCAGGTTTGCTCAAAAGCACCTGGGACCAAGTTTGTGTTGCTTTCTGGCAGCGATATCCCAACCCTTACAGGTGAGGGGGCCATCAGTGGTCGTCTGGATGCTTCTTTACCTTTTGTCTTGCATAAAGTCCTTTATCCAGGTTGCACAGCATAAATACTTGGGATTATGTCTCAACCATTGGTCTCAATATTTGCACTCTGTTAAGTATAAACAGAGGTGGAAAATAACTAAGTGTATTTACTTAAGCAGTAAGTCTTTTTTGTCACTTTACTTAAGTATTTTTATTTTACTGTACTTTAACCCTATGGGCCCGAACAACGCATAGTGCGTCCAAATTCACACCTGTTCTTCTCTATTGATTTTTTCCGCGACCGTGCGTCATAGCGAGAAGCCACGCATATCACGTGAAACAGCGGAGTTGTAGCTTTCCGACAAGGTCACTTGTCGGTAGTCCAATGTTTTCACAGCGAAAAAAAACGATAAAGTTACACTAAAATAATGTATAACAGAGCTTTCATACAGCTTTGCACACACATTACTGTTGGATGGATTACTAGCGAATGCAGGCTCGCACAGAAATGCCACGCATATCACATGAAAGTGCAGGAGCAGAGCTTTCCACTGATACCACACACATCATTGTGCTGTCATCTCATCATGCTATAAATCCAGATTAATTGTCTACAAAATAAAAACCTGACGAATTTCTTTACAATCCATTATACAGATCTTGTTATCAGTCACTTCATATAGTGAGGAATATCGTATCTTACCACGTCTTAGGCTTGCGTGTGTTTCTCCCTGTCTATCCACATTTGTAGTCTGGCTTTCAAGATGCAAATATCTCCATATTGTCCAGTTGACACTCCATCAAACTTTGTATGACAAGACCAGCCACTTCACCTTTGCGCACCCAGACAACTGTAGTCTAATTATGCATGCATGACAGGGCTGTAGTCACCATATACATTGAGGGGGACACTTGCCCCCCCACCAATGCCCAAAATGCCCCCCCAATATATAACTGAAACTGAAAAACAACAACAAACTTTGTTTACTCCAAACAAAGTGGCAAATATTATCTTGGAGGACATCATTGCACTTGGTTGACTATTTTTCTATGATCTTAGATGTAAAAATTGCATGTTTCTTTCAGATAAAACACATTTTTGACTTGTGAATGAGTCAATGGAATTTCTTGCAATAATGAAAAAATACTGGCAATCATGTCCGCCTGGCACAAACTACATATTTTGGACAACTGTGAAGTGACAGAATGTCCCAGCATCATGGTTCTTATATTGCCAGATTCCAGAGAGTCTCCCCTCTTCATATATGGTAGAATATGTCATTTTTCAACTTGCTATGGTGAGATACATGTAAAAATGTAAGAATTTAGTCATACGGATTTGTTTTTTTCATTGATATAAAAATTAATATAAAATACAGACACATAGAAGGACATGTAATGATGGCAAATCTGGTTAGCCCAGATTGTCCTGAAAAAGATATAGCATGTGTATGTAGCCTTTATAATGACTGTGATATGAGCTTAAAAGTAAAGGCAGTAAAAATACCCCAAAAATGCCTAGGGCCCATAGGGTTATATTGCAACTCCATTACATTTCACTTTGAAGCTTGTGATTTTACATATTAAACAAATGATCAGCTGATAAATGTGACACACTGCTTCAGTAATAATAGTCCAGTAATGTGATGTAATATAATTTTTTCCCCTGAGGTGTTATTTTACTATTAATTCTTTAAGTTTATGTTGGTGCTAATACTTCTGTATATCTATTGCAGTGGAAGAAAAGATTTCCACACACTTTCACTTTATTGTTGAGCTTTCGGTCTGATAGACCTTCATCACAGCGTATATGAGGCAACAATGGACAGGCTGGTAAAAGTAACCAATCTCAGTTTAGTCACTGGCAGTGTGCAACACACAGGTGCATAACGCTGGTGGTGGAAGCACCACCTCCTGGGAGTTGTTTTTTAAGTACTGATTGGCATACAAATGGAAACTACTGAAGTAACATTATGAATTCAGGACTTTACCTGACTTAACCAGACTTCACTTTTTCTTTTTTTTACTGGTGCAAAGGGAAATGCCTAAACATCAAGTTATTGACATACAATACATACATGGGGGTAGACGGAAATGGGAATATACAAAACAAACAAGAATGATAGAATGGTATTCTTGCCACTATAGATATACAAACCAGTTGTTGTTACTGTACTCAGGGTGATTATGTAGGACACCTGTGTGTATGCCATTGAGTGTGTGTCTATTTATAGCTGATAAAGAAGAGACAGGAGAGAGTAGGGCTGTGCAAATAATAAGAGGAAAACACATGATGTAAATAATAATACAATTAGTAAATAAAACTAAATATGCATATTAATAAACATAGTACTAATAGAGGTAAATTAATAACAATAATAACAAACTTCACTTTCTGATGCTGATACTCTTGCTCAAGAACTCAATATATCTTCCACCACAGGTTTAGTACAATATATCTTTAGAGCAATCAACAGGCAAACATTTTATGAAACCACTCATCAGTTCTTTTTGTTTGTTTGTTTGTTTGTTTGTTTGTTTGTTTGTTTGTTTTGCAAATAAAAATGAAGAAAATACACCTGTCCTAGCTTCACAGTTGTGAATATTTGCTGGTTTTCTTAGTGTTATTATAGATAGTTATACAGATGTATGATAGTAGATTGCATGATCTTAAGGTTTTGGACTGATGGGCATTCAAAACAATACATTTGCACAAGTCAACTTTGTGATGAACATGAAAATGGTAATGGGTGTTTTTCTTTTCTTTTTTTTTACATTTTGTAAATCAAACGTCTGATCAGTTGGTTGTGAAAATAATTGTTAGTCACAGCTCTAGCTGAAATGATCAAATCAAGCAGTTAATTGACAAAATAAATCTCTCACAATTTGATAATTGATTTATTGTTTGAAGTCTTTTATCTAACAAAACAGTTGCTTGTTCATTTTCTCAAATATGAGTTTTTGTTGCTTTTCTGTGTAATTGTAAATGCAATATCTTTTGGGTTTTGAACTGTTGGTTGGACAAAACAACAAATTTGAAGATGTCACTTTGAGCTTTGGGAATGTGTCATGTGAATTTATTCCCATTTGTGACGTATAAAATAAACTAAACTATACTATTTAACTGAATAAAATAAGGGACAGAAGTATTTATAAGCCCTCCACAGAGGATTTGTATTAATTCAAAGCTCTTCCTTCTCTCCCACAGTAACCATGTCTTGACGGAGGACATTATCTTCCGAGAGGTTACTCCAACCAACTGCCTCATTTCCAGACGTCTGTTGACCAAAACAAGCCGAGCGCCTCGCTGGATGGAGCGGTACCTTCCAAAGCACATGGCCAGCTCGGCGTACATCATCGAGGACTCCATTGTGGACCCTCAGAAAAGGACCATGACCACACTCACCTGGAACATCAGCCACGCTCGCCTCATGGTACCACAGCATTTGCTTCCATAGGCACTCAGCATTGCACAAAGTAACAACACGGCCTCATGTTGCTTTTGTTTGTTTTTTCCTCTCTCTGTCCCAGTCTGTGGAAGAGCGGTGCGAGTACCACATTAACCCCGACAATGGCAGCTGGACTGAGATAAAAAGAGAAGCTTGGATCTCTTCCAATGTCTACGGACTCACTAGAGCTATTCAGGTCAGTGGAGTAAAGTGGAGCGCCACGCTATGTAACAGCCCAGGGAAAGTGGTGTGGGGCGTCTGAAGGGGAGACTCACCCACCTATCTTTCATTCTGTAATTGGAAACATAATACACAGCGTTAAGATGCAACAGCTGAGCAGTTGACGCTGTCTGCCAAAACTTAGGTGTCTGAATTATTTATGACAGAATCAGAGTGGCTGTTTATTGTCCTCAGGTTGTGAGGAGGTATGTTAGTACGTATGTGATGATGTGAGTTATAGGTTGCTGGCACATTATTGTCTTTCTAAGTGGGTGTATTTTTATCTGGGTTGACTGTGTTTTCTCTCTCCAGGAATTTGGTCTTGCAAGGTTCAAGACCAGTGTTACAAAGACCATGAAAGGCTTTGAATACGTGTTGGCCAAAATGCAAGGTAAATTGTCAGTAATAATGACGTCAACCTTTAGTGCTTTGCATCAATTGGTGGAATGAAGGCATGGTCAATGTTAGTAGTGACTGCAATGATAAGGGACTGATTAAGAAGTACAAGCTCTCTGATGCAAGCTAGGTTGTTAATATTTAGGTTAGCAGACGTAAGTTACAAGATGGACAAATGTTTGATGGGGTTCAAAGGAAAAACTCTGTGCTTCTCATTGAGCAAACACATCAGTCAAATCCAAAAACTGGAGATTTGGAAGCTTAAAGATAACACTGCTATTATTCAACTTAGACCCTAGTATTTTCCCATGTTTTGTGTTGACGTGACAAATGGGAACAACAATTTTTGAAATTGGACCAGTATTGAGCAAAAAGGCTGCAGCTGGTAGCCATGAAACAGGCTGCAATGTAACCACTCAGGGCAATCATACACTGTCAATATAGATGCACTAAAGTGTTTGCTTTTGCCACTGACAAGCTCAGATTATTATTCTAAGTGTCTGACAACATAATGGAAAGCACCCATACAGGGACAGACCTTTTTATTAAGAGTAAGATCCTTTTTGTTGAACCAGAAACAGCCCTGAAATCACTTTCACCAAAGCCACCAGACTCAGTGTGTAAAGAGCCAGAATATTTTCACATCTAACTGGGTGAATTGAGGGTTTATTTCAGCCAAACCAGAGCTGGTCACGATTTGAACAGTGGAAAGACAAACCAAGACAGTTTTTGGTAGTTTGGTTTTATTTCTGTAGACTGTATGAAGTGTGTTTTATAATGATACATTTACCATTTATTTAAATGGAGTCTGGTTGGTTTGGCTTTAGCGATTTCGAGGCTGTTCAGGTCAACTTACTCTTTCACAAAAAGGTCTACCTCTTTAGGGATCCCATCCTTAGTGTTGTCAGAAACTTAAAATATCAGTCTGAGCCTGTCATTGGCAAAAAAAAGCACTTTTAGTGGACATACTTTGACAGTGCCCCAAGTGTTCACACTACAGCCTATCTCACAGCTGCAGCAGTCCTACTCAACACTGGACCAATTTCTAAATAGTTGTTCCTATTAGTCAATTGGACACAAAAACATTGGTAGAAGAATCCAGGTTTAAAAATAACAAAGTCATTCTTTAACTTGTTAATGTTGGTATAAGAGAAAAAGTGGGGAACATTTACCTTCTGGGAATTTACAAAATAGTCAAGATGACTCTTTTGTACATTGCATGGAATTTCAGTTGTATGTTAATACTAGTGTTGCACGGTATACCGGTACTAAAATAGTACCGCGGTACTAGAGTATTCCAAACTGTTCTTTACTGCATTTGGAAAATACCTGTACTTTGAAATTGATTCAATTCATTAATTTAGTTAATTTATTTTACTCATTTATGCACACAAACGCCTTTCTTGTTCCTGTTGGAGCACAGATTGCGCAAGTGGTGTGTATGACAACACCTGTATCAACATTCGCAGCTGGCGCACGTGAAAAAAGACAAGATAAAGTCTGCCTCGCAAAGGGAGACAACATGAGACAACACAAACTTGATGGAACATTTGATTTACCAAACAGTGACGTCCGTACCGAGGTACTTACCGAACCATGATTTTTTTGGTACCGTTACACCCCTACTATTTATTGTTCTAAAGGTTTGTATCCAAAAGGACTTTTCCTTAGGAAAAGTACCGAAGAGTATCGAAAATTATCGAAATTCATATTGGTATTGGTACCGAAACAAAGATTTTGGTATCGTGACAACACTAATGTTAACGTCGACATGTGGAGTTCCAAGTCCGAGTCTTTATTTATTGCAAGGTTACAATATTTAGTTTGGCTGTAATGAGGCCATACACGTAAAATGGTTTGTTCATTTTAAAACTGAAAGTAAAGTAGCTTAACAGTATGATTTTAATTTTTAAATGTCAATTCGGTGTGAGTTTAAATCTGTAAAATCGAAAATGCAAACAATTCTTACAAATATGAATATTAATATCATGTTAATAATATACATAGGATAATATCGTGTAAACCATCTCTGTTTCTTTCTGTTCTCGCTTTGTCTCCCTCCCCCAGCGCCATCTGGTTGCCTTCTCACTATTCATTAAGTGTAATTGCTCTTTTTGTGAGATTTTGTATGGTTATGGTTACAGACTCTCTCTCCTCCCCACGGTCATATTTAGAGTGTAATTCATTTACCATCCAAAAAAGATATTATAGTAATGTTATCATGAACTCTTTTGGCCACTATAATTTTGGAGAAAAAATCTGACATCGTGCTGCCCTAGCTGCAAATATGCAGTCACTATTGTTACAGTTGAGTCCAAACAAAGTACAGGTATTAAATACATAAGAAAATATATTTGTTTGGTATTAAAAGTGTATCCACCTCTACCTGTATCCTGTCAAAGCACTGATGTGCATTTGGTAATATCCCTGTCACTGACGCAGACAAGCAGAAAGTCAATGCAGTTTTTTTTGAATAGTTGAAATGTTACGAAAGCATATGTTGTTTATTTTTTAATATTAAGTGATAGCAAAGGTTTTCCACACAAATACATACATAACCGATATGATAACCAATATGTTTGGACTCTCGTAGGTGAAACTCCATCCAGAACCTTAGCAGAGACTGCTACGGAGCGAGCAAGAGAGACAGCACTTGCGGCTAAGGAGAAAGCCAAAGACCTCGCCTCACAGGCCCAGAAGAAACAATACGTGTGACGCACTGCAGAGATCATCGGCTCTTTTGCTGCTTATACAGGGACAGCTTTACTCTTACCTCCCCCTCATGTTTCAGTCGAGCATTAGGGTAAGACAAACTGTTCCCGGTCATGGGTTGATGCCTCTATGAGGAAGTAAGGAACTGAAATGGTGGGTGGACCATAAAAGGCCTGAGCTGGCTTCAAGAGCCTGTTCCAGCCTCCTGGGGTATATTGTACCTTTGATACCAGGTCATCTCAGTATCACCATAGATAGATCTTAAAGAATGGTTGAATATGGCTCTGGGTGCCATGACATAATAATAGCACTTTGCCTTGACACTGATCCTCAGACCTTTGTTCAACCTCTGTGCCCATCAACAGCGTTCAGTTTACTCTGTTCATCTCAGTATGTCAGTTTGTAATGGTAATGACTTTTTCTTCAGAAGCTAAAATTAGCATAGCTCGGAATATCTGATCAATGCAAAATTATGTGTCTGTTGTTGTATGTTTTGTTGCTGTCGTGTTATATTTTATTTCAGCTCACCCAGCCACACCTTAATGCAGGGTTCCTACACATTTCCCATTTCAAACTTCTCTACTTTTCCAGACTTCTGTGAAGATTTCTCACATCATATTTGACATCTGAGTACAAATAGCTAGAATGAGTTTAAAAAAAGTTAAATAAATGGCATCTGTGCAGCCTTGTTTATTCGGTTGCCATGGCGACAACAGTTAACACAAAGATGACTATTCTGTTAATAACATAACTGCATAACTCCTCTGTGTTTAGACAAGCTTAATAATTGATTATTTGTGATGCTATGTATATATGCAATTAAAAGATATCGCCACGTTTTCAAAGCAGTTTGGTGGCGGATGTCCAGATTTGCAACCGTTTTAAGGCGCTTCGGGCGGAGCTGTTTTGCAGGCTGTATGTAGAGGCATAGAGGCAGCTCTGCATAGGAGTGTGTGTCCAGTCGAACGCCATACTCCTTGCCTTGCTTTCGGGGACATCAAGCTCTCTCTGGCTGCTTGTTCCAAATGCCATGAAAAACACTGATTATATGATCAGTTTATTTTTTAGAAATTGTGAATTTTATATTCTATAGAACAGAATGACAATAGACTGGAATCACAAGTATTTTTTCATAGAGTTTTCTTTTCCATTCTTATCCAGTCCTGGAAATGACTCAAATCAATCTCCATACTTTTCTATCCTGCGTAGGAACCCTGTTAATCATCCTACCAAGACTGATTGCTTCACTGACTGAAGAAGGGTCCATATTGTTGGCAGTCATAGCTTGATAAGATACACTCATTTAGCATTAGTGGTAAAATCTGGTCACAATGGACATCAGTGTCTTCAGCTTAATTTAGATGCATGTACAAAGGCGAACATGTACGGTACATTCAGCTTAGGTCTGATGACACAACCCCATGCAACAATATGCTCTTCCTGTATCAATCAAATATCAGCTTGTCAATAAAGGGACAGTTCCTTTGTTACAATCATACTGTGATGTCTTTTAATCAGTGGGATTTGTTTAGCTACATAAATGAGGGGTTGCTAGATTCCTGTAATATCAAATTATGATGGCAAAAATACAATGCAACTGGTTAAGAGGGGTCACCAACAGGCATTACTGTGTTTTAGAGGGTCACAAGGAAAAGGAAAAAAGCTGGGAACCATTTAGTTTCATCAGAATAAAATCCGAAACGGCACATAAATATAGAAAATATTTATTCAATAAAAAAAAGCTTACACCAGTACAAAAAAATGCTACATTATATTACTGGGCGGAGAGACAGATGAATGCATACATACTATTAAAAGGTAATAAGGCATCTTGCATATACAAAAATACAGAAAAAAGCACCTTCAGTTATTAAATATATAGCAATGAATATGATACATACTTGTAATACAGCATAAATTGCATAATTACTACAAGTAGACATTACCTGCCTGACTGTGGTGAAGTCGTTGCATGCATAACTGACACAAGCGATGAATTGCACAGGTGTGACAATGAACACTTGTCAGACGCATACCAGTTCGTATTAGCAGTGAATAAAACTGGATCTGTCATCGTGCCAATCTCCACATGCGCTCACATTTTAGGCATCAAAGTTCTTGCACTTAATCACAGACTGAGTTGTGTAAAGAAAAAAAAAAACAACTAAATGAATATTTGTCAGAGTATATTAACTGCCAGGTATCAATGTGCAAATATGACCAGTTAATTTCAGTTCACTGTTTTCATTTTGATATACCCATGATCTTTTTGAAACACGACAAGTGCTACGTGTGGACGTTTTGTGCAACAGAAGAAAAATACATTACTGAAGTTACATAAAAGAACAATAATAAGCACAGATTAAATGTTTAAGTGCGTGTTACACGTGACATACGGACTTAGTGCTAAAGGAAAAAGCTGTATGGAATACTAGACCAAATCTGATTTAAGGCAGAATTCAGCGTAGACATACTGTAGTAAAGAATAAGTTAAGAGGTTTGAATTTTAAAAAAAAGCCCTTATTTGGATTTTTAAAAGCCCTTAAAGATGAATGAGAAGAACTGTTTGAGTCATTGTGAGTAACAGACACCCTGCAGCTTCGCAAAGTAATGCCACCAACGGTTGATGCCAGAAAATACATACATGCGTAATGTTACATCCATCCCAGCCCAGTGATTTTAACTGCTATTCAGTGCAAATGGACACAGCTCATTCATGACGTTATCTTTTAGCTTGTTGTCTGACATATGTTGAAAAGAGAATGTCAAGTTACTTCCTCTGGGAGAAAAAACGTGTTCAGTTGTACACTAACATCTTCCTCCATTCTCCCTCTTCCTCCGCTGGCTTTTTTTTTTTTTGTTTGTTTTGTTTTGTTTTTGGAATGTTTTCCTCCTCGTCCTGTTCCAGGTGACATTTAATGAGTTACCGTAGGTTTGATGCTGTCATAGCCAGGCTTTGTCCATGCTGGAGTAACAGTGGTCTGCACCTGTGTGCGTAATGCTCAGTCCGTCAGAGTCCACACAGTCGAACACGATGCTTTCCACGTCGACCTCTACGTCCTCTGTAAGGGGGTCGACCAGAGACCAAATCCATTAGTGGAAGGACATATGAGAACATTCACTTCTAACTGAACTAACAAACTAGATCTGGGTGATATGATCTCAATCAAACATGATATTAAGCAGCAGCAACACGTATTTTAGCCACTAAAAAAAAAATCGGTTCAGCACTCTACCTCGCTGCCAGACAACCCTTTTCAACGGGGAACCGAAGCTGCCATCTATGCTGCCTTCAAAGCCACTAGACTACACTGACAAAACAGTACTTTTACCTCGCTGAACACAGATGCTGCTGGTCTACCACTGCCTCGATAAGTAGTTTGTTTGTGTTATTGTATGACTTTAGTTAATCCAAATTAACCCTATACAACACAAAAGTCACACAAAAACGCAAACTAAATGAGGCAGCGGTAGACCAACAGCTCCCATGTTCAGTGAGTTAAAGCTACTGCTTATGTCAAAGGAGTCTGGTACCTTTAAGGGCAGCATAGATAACGGCTTCGGTTCCCCATCAGAAGGGGCTCTCACAAGGTAAAGTGTTGAGAATATATTCAAAATATAGAGTACACTAAAGCTGATAGTGATTGTTTTAGGGGGGCCTTTTTCTAGGTGGTTAAAAACATTTTGGTTCTGCCCCCATCAACAGTAGTGCATTGCTTAGATTCAGTTGCAGTACTCCTGTCTGCTTCTCCAAACTTGGGACACACTGACCGTCATTTACTGTAGATAATACACTGACTCTGGATAAATTCCTCATACAATCGCACTTCAAAAAAATCCAAACATTTTATCTAATTTAATGATATCTCTTCAATTTAACTTCTGACTTTTCATTTGGATGACAGAATTTTGTATGATGGTATGGAAATACAATCACATCGTCACAATACTATTCCCCATTGCGAGTTTTGAATTACTGCTAAGCTCTTGTTCAACTCATGCTGCTCAGAAAACATTAGTAAAATGTAGACATCATAAACTCCTATTAATAAGTAGTCCATGCTAATGTATGATTAACCAAAGTGCATTATCTACAAATCATAAAGAGACATAGAAATATTTGGGATAAGGTTTCTTTGTTATACAGTCAGGTCCATAATTATTTGGACAATGATACAGTTGTCATCATTTTGGCTCTGTACACCACCACAATGGGTTTTAAATGAAACAATGAATACGTGCTTAAAGTGCAGACTCTCAGCTTTCATTTAAGGCTTTTTTCAAAAATGTAGTATGAACCGTGTAGGAATTACAACCATTTCTTCACACAGTCCCCCGACTTTAAGGGCTCATAAGTATTTGGACAAACTAACATAATCATCAGTTAAACAGTCAGTTTTAATACTTGGTTGCAAATTCTTTACAGTCAATGACTGCCTGAAGTGTTGGACACATAGGCATCATCAGATGCTGTGTTTCTTCCCTGGTGATGCTCTGCCAGCCCTTTACTGCAGCCGTCTGCACTTCCTGCTTGTGTTTTGCCCTCAGTTTTGGCTTCAGCAAGAGAAACGCATGCTCAATTGGATTCAGGTCAGATGATATGACTTGGCCATTGCAGAACATTCCACTTCTTTGCCTTAAAAATGTCTTTGGTTGCTTTTGCAGTATGCTTCAGGTGAATGTCCATCTGCACTGTGAAGTATCGTCCAATGAGTTTTGAAGCATTTGGTTGAATCTGAGCAGATAATGGTGCCCCAAACACTTCAGCTTTCATCCTGCTGCTCTTGTCAGCAGTCACATCATCAATAAATACAAGAGAACCAGTTCCACTGGCAGCCATACATGGCCATGACATAACAGTACCTCCACCATGCTTCACTGATGAGGTGGTGTGCTTTGGATCATGAGCAGTTCCTTCCCTTCTTCCTTCTCTTGTCTTCCCATCATTCTGGTAGTTGATCTTTGTTTTATCTGTCCATAGTATGCTGTTCCACAACTGTACAGGCTTTTTAGATGGTTTTTGACAAACTCTAATCTGGCCTTCCATTTTTAAGGCTAACCAATGGTTTGCATCTTGTGATAAACCCTCTGTATTTATTCTAGTGAAGTCTTGTCTTGCTTACAAGAGCAGCAGGATGAAAGCTGAAGTGTTTGGGGCACCATTATCTGCTCAGATTCAACTAAATGTTTCAAAACTCATTGGACGATGCTTCACAGTGCAGTTGGACATTGACCTGAAGCATACTGCAAAAGCAACCAAAGACATTTTTAAGGCAAAGAAGTGGAATGTTCTGCAATGGCCAAGTCATATTATCTGACCTGAATCCAATTGAGCATGCGTTTCTCTTGCTGAAGCCAAAACTGAGGGCAAAACACCCAAAACACAAGCAGGAAGTGCAGACAGCTGCAGTAAAGGGCTGGCAGAGCATCACCAGGGAAGAAACCCAGCATCTGATGATGCCTATGTGTCCAACACTTCAGGCAGTCATTGACTGTAAAGGATTTGCAACCAAGTATTAAAACTGACTGTTTAATTAATGATTATGTTAGTTTGTCCAAATACTTATGAGCCCTTAAAGTTGGGGGACTGTGTGAAGAAATGGTTGTCATTCCTACACGGTTCATACTACATTTTTGAAAAAAGCCTTAAATGAAAGCTGAGAGTCTGCACTTTAAGCATGTATTCATTGTTTCATTTAAAACCCATTGTGGTGGTGTACAGAGCCAAAATGATGACAACTGTATCATTGTCCAAATAATTATGGACCTGACTGTATATAGTCTTACTGGAACTTCCAATAGCATTAAGACAAAAATTAGAATGGTTTGGATGTGCGGTTGTACTAATTGAAACAAAATCTGTAACCACACTTTAAGGTATAGAGAAAGGTGAGGCATCAGGAGAGACCTACCTCTGTCGGAGTCCGACCTCTCGGACGACATGGTGGACCCCTGACTGTCATTCCTCATCCTCTCCGTTCCTCTCTGCAGCTGCTCCAGCCGAACCCGCAGCTCTCTCTGCTCCCAGCGCAGGCGGCCCTTCAGCTGCTCCGCACGCTCGTCCTGCTCCTGCAGCTTCTGGAAATGAGACAGCAGAGAGGCAGACAAGTGAGCAGGGGACTAAAAACATAAACCAAACCTCAGACACAACAGACGGGACAAGCATTTGGAGACCACAAAGCACTGATTGCAAATGCACAGGAAAATAGACACATGGCAAATGATTTACCAGGCAGACGGTATCAGAGATGGGACCAAGTCATTGTGTTACAAGTCACTATAAAGTTGTGTTTCTTTCTCACTCTCGCTTCTTGTTGTTCACTACAGTCATTCTGCTGTTATGCCATGTTATAGACTTACTTATCTTTTAATAATCATTTGAAATTGTTTGCCCTCAATGTCTGTGGTATCAGACGCTGATATTTGTCAAGGTATCGTATCAAAGGTGGAAAACACAGGCACAGACACAGACAACACTACTATAGAGTTTCAAGTCTTTGCCCTCAAGTCCTGAGTCAAATCAGGCGAGTCTCAAGTCCAAACCTTCACGTGTCAACTCCAAAACAAGTCATAATGCACTCTTCTCATAATGTAATGCCATGAATATTAATATGTTAAACTTACAAAAATCATGAGGGCTTTTTAAAATTTGCATTTACTTGTTAAAATAATATTATTTAAAAGTTAGCTAAGCTGTTCAGCTAACATTAGCTAAGTAGTGGTTGCTAACTTTAAATGTGGACCCGCACGTTTTGCTTACTGCAATTAATCTTTGTTGATCAACACCATAGTTTTTGTACGCAAACAAAATTATCTTTGGTATAATGTCTTTCTAAATGGCGCTCAGTAAGCCTGTGAAGGTTTGTTCTTCACTGTTCTCTCCTGCAGCTTGATTGGATACTGTCGGATTGTTCAAACAAAGTGGATCTAGGGAATTAGGTGTCGACTTGCTGGAACTGAATAGCGTTAATGTTACTTGATTTACCAATATAAAGGGAAATGAATTGATTCGTGCAGCACTTTTAAAATAACATACTTTTAATCTTTGGGCTCGGGGGAAGGTATTAAGTATTTCAAGTCAAAAAGCTCAAGTCTAAACAAAGTCATGTTTGGTGTTAAAGTCCAAATCGAGTTGCAAGTCTTTTTTGATTTTGACAAATTGAGTCTTTAGTCATCAGAGTTGTGCCTCTAGTCCAGTGGTTTTTAAACTATTGCGCCTAAAGCAAACCAAAGGGCACGCCAAAATCTCAGGGCACACCTGTATTTATATTTGTGCACGATATCCTCTATAACATGTTATCACTCTTATCAAGACAAAAATGCTTTTTATGTACTAATATCAAATAACAATTTACAACGAACTATTACTTATGAAATATTTATCAGCAAAATGATTCAAGAATTAATTTCAAACTTTTTAAATTACATTAAAGCACCAATTACACATCCTTTAAAATGAGAAATAATATAAGATAATGTGATGTGTCACACACTTATAACGCCTATGTGCAAATGGTGACAAATAGGTTTCCCATGAAGGTTATTTTAAATAACATTAAATTAAATTGCATTTTTTAGATAGATTTCCTCTTTATTATGCAATGGGTGTGCACAACATACTGATAGTCAGTTAAAAAATAATTCATATATTATAATAATAATGTGTGGTTATCACAAAACCATACAACACACGTGGATTTGCACACCATTTGAGAACCACTGCTCTAGTCTAACAGGTGCACCCCTCTGAGGACACTATCTGAGAGTTAATTTTACTTTCCCCACACTTTGCTCTCAACCAGGACTTGTACCAGTCCGATGCCGTGTCGCTGTGCCTACCTTTATGTGAAGTTGGGCTCGTCTCAGCAGGTTGAGCGTGGTGTTCCTCATCGAGTCAGACGACAGAGGAACTTGCTTCTTGAGCTGCTCCAGGCAGTGCCTCAGCTGAGCTCGCCTGCAAGCAACAACAGACGCCGTTAATCAATGCAAGTGAAAACAGGGTGTTTACGATTGTTGCTTCCTCTTACTGTTGCCATCATATGAAGTAATCTGCTGTGGCAGACTTAGAGCAGTTATTTACCTGTTTTTCTCCAGCTCGTTGTGAACTGACCTGCAGTTATAGAAAGACACAGTTTGTTTAGCTCTTACATATATAGAGGTTTTCATGTTTAAAAAAGTGCTATGTCAGAACTGAAACTCAGACTTCCCACTGCAGCCACACCCTCTTGTCAGTTGTGTGTTATGCAATATGCTCACCTATTGCCACCAGCTGCAGAGATCTTCTTGCTCTTCTGTTTGTTTCTTTTGTCAGAGTGATCTGGACTGATGGGCAGGAGGGAAGCATATCCATGTTCTGCCTCTGTGCAGGAAAAATACATCACAGCTGAGTTAGACAATAACCTGAAATACAAAGGCAGCAATGTTAAATAGATTTTTTTTTACATTATTAGTGTTAGTGAAGTCTAGTGCAACAGATTAATTTATATTTATATATACTTATATATCTTTATTTATTATAAAAGGAGAGGGACGACAGGGAGAGCCTGCTGTCATCAGCACAATCAGCTGTACGTTTTGTTTTTGGCGCCATCACCCTCCACCTATTCACTCTTATACAACAGCTCCCGGCAGCCTCACAAATAGAAATGCCCAACACAATGCCTGTAATGTGAAAACAATGAATGAAACTTATAGTAGAGCTTTCCCCTGCCTCACTTTCATTCAGCGTGATGAGCGATCACCGCCGCTCAGATTCATTTTCAAACTGGAGCAGATTGGCGCCTTTGAGTACAATAATGGGACCGATATGTAGGTCACTGAGTCAAATGGGAAAGATCGCCCAGAATAACCTCCCAGCAAAAATCTCGATCATTTCTCGCACAAATGCACCGTATCATGTGTCTATATGACGTTTTGCATGCATAGTTGGAGTCGCTTCATTGTGCATTTTGTTGTTTTAACAATAAGCAACTTCCTCCCCTGTACACTGACACTTAGGATAAAACACTGACCCCGCTCTCTCCTCTCCAGGAACTCAGCAGCCCGGAGAAGCACCTGGATGTTGCAAACATGTCCGTCCATTATGATGTTTGTTAGGATAAAACAACAGCCGCGGATAAACAACCTCCTGTGGTGTAAGCGTCGGTGCCCTGAAGTAGATGAAGCTGTGTCTGTGCTACGTCCTCAATCCAGAGCCCCAACACTGGCGCTGCGTTCAGGTGCTCCACGTAAACTCGGACATGACGCTACCGTCATAAATACAACCAGGCGGGGACCAAATTATAAAACAGGACCTTTTAAAGCAGTGATACTCAATTTAATCTGGCCCGGGATATGGTGCCAGATGACCCCCAAAATCACTTTCTAATGTTCAATAAAGATAAACTGATTCGACTTGACAATTATACAGCAGCTCAAAAGTTTTTTTTATTGTCAATTCACGATATGTGCAGGACATACAGAAGAATCGAAATGCTGTTTCCCTCTCACCCCGTATTAATGCCATACATTTTAAAAGCTAAAAGAAAGCTAAATTTTAATAATACAAGTAAGAATAAAACTAAGCAGTATAACCTAATAGACAGGACACTCAAGAAGATAATCCAAACCTATCTACAGTCAATGACGGTATTGCAATACTGTAACAGTATCAGTGATCAAGGTGCATGTTAGAGGAGCCTATGGGATGTACGTGATGTGCATGTAGTGCAAATGACCAACAGCAGCAGATATGAAGTAGTGCAAATGGTTGAAGTAAGGTAATATTTGTAATTTTGTAATACTACGTATTATAATTCAATGAAATTTGTTTCAGTTGTTATTACCTGACACGCTTAGGCCTCCATAGTCAATATGTGAAAAGTTTTATACTCGTTTTGGTACCCCTATGTTCACCTTTGGGGGTGTCTCCTGCCTTACCTCTCTCCTTTTGCTGTTGTAATCCCTGGGAGAGGTAAGCAACATTGCTCCTGTGGTCATTTCCATGTTTTAGTGCTGTTAAGCTACGTTTATAAGTTCATTTTCTGCTAACATAATCTTGTGTCGCTTAATTTATGTAGGGGCTTGAGTTTGTATGGTTGTGTTTGACGTAAGATTTTGTTTTTGCCACTTGCTTACAGGAAGGTTTTCTCTGTTTCATTGTGCTTAGTTGATTGTAACATGGCACCATTGTGCTGTTGGGCTCTGTGGGAAAGGGGCTCAAGTTTGTTTGTTGATCACCTCCAAAGATATCCATGGTCTGGGCCTCTTTATATCAACACAACGCAGACATCACTAAAGTCCACCGGCTACATAAATAAGATACAAGGGTGCACAAAAAGCATCAATATAGAGCTTGATTGTTGAGAAAAAGTGCCTAGGAAGGATCCCCACAGACCCCCAGAAAGGTCCAGGCTGAGCCCCAAATGTCTTGATTCTAGAAACGCCCCTGCACACACCTGATTTATGTGAATTTGCTGCAACTGGCCCCTGGTCTCCTGTCATGTTGCAAAAGTGGTCTCCAGACAAAGCAAATTGGGTATCCCTGATCTAGAGTACTGGCCGCTTTTTTATTTTTGTAAAAAATAAAAAAGAGAGATCACGCACATTGGTGTCCTTTTTAAGTATTTCAAGTGTGTCAATAACAAGTGAGACAATAAATCAGTAATATCATGAGCACTTTAAACGTAAATGTAACATACATATTCCCCTCCCTCTCATATTTAATAGGCATATGCTTTGTCCATGTCCATGTTATTATTATTCTTATTACACATCTATGGTCCATGCAATACAGATTGGCTGCGATTCCGATATTTCTGACAGCATGTGAAGGCATCAGCAGACAACGTAAAACGTCATGGTCAAGGGCCCATCCCCTCTCCTCTCACAGCACCTTTATTTTTCAAACATTCATTGTATTGGTTAACAACAATATTGACATGTACTTACGCATATTTGCCCCTATTATACGCAAACCTCAGACTATGCATTAATACTAATATGATACAAAGTTGCATTGTTACATAGGTTTTATTATATATTTATTATATCCTTTTCTCCCTGTCTTAGAGGTATTTAAAAAACATATTTAATGTTATTTCAATTCCAGTCTGCATCCATTTCATTTTCTTTCTATAATAACACTTTTTTTAACATTATAGACTGTCTAAAGAAAGCATGGTGTAACCATATTACAGATAATATATATTAGTTAATATAAAATAATGTGCTTAATAAAGATATTCAAACACTAAAACAGTCGTTGGAATAAGCAGTGTAAGCAAAAGGATGCGTTTAATTGTCTTTTCATACGCAGAAGAAAGTGGGAGGAGAGCTTGCCCTTACTAAGTATGGCGCTGTGTGGCTTCACTGCCTGTATCAGGTTTCAGTTGTGTTCCCCGTATGGGAGTGAAGCCTCTTTGCCAGCAGTATCTTTAACCTATGAACTCCTGAGTGTGCCAGTCCTCCGCCATATTGACTGTTGTCTTGACTGGAGGAGATAGAGAACATTTTGAGGTCCGAGAAGAAACGAAAGTGTGCTCTCCAAATCACTGAAACTGGTGCAAACTTGGCGAAAGCGTATTATAAACACCGTCGTGATGGCAAGGAAGAAAAGCAAGCAGCAAGGAGTCGCCCAGAAGGAGCTTGCGCCTGGACAGCAGACCGTACCGAAGAGCCCAGTCTCTCCCGGCGATGCAGCTGACGGTGGCGGCGGAGATGCTGGGCTGGATAGGCTGGCCACTACCAGGGCGAACCAGGTAGGTTAGCTAGCAGCAAGCCAATCGCTGCTTTCTAAAACAGGCTAGCTAGCCTCAGAGCTAGCACCTCCTCTGCGAACCCGAGCATCCTCCATTGTGCTTTTATTTTACGAGGCTAAATATCCTGCAGAGGTGAAGTTATATGCATCCGCGGGCTCTTCGGGAGCTATTTTAATCTTTATGTAGTATCAGTGGATGGTGAGCTCTCACGTCGTTTGATGTGTAATTAAATAAATAATGCGCTCAAGTTAGCGAGCAGACTCGTCCCCAACAGTCGGCTCTGAGGCTGTGTGGCTAGCATTGCAGCCCATCTCCTCTGCCGGACAGGTGACATTGTGCCTCGGACAGGTCGTCCCGTTTCCAGCGTTCACAAATCCCCATCCGCCCAGCTAACCTTAGCCAGCAGGCTAACCGGGCTATCATCTCCAGCTAGCGTGCTGCAAACGTGCTCACTGCCTACATTTGAACCCATCCGCAGGAACCACTCAGGCAGCAGTAGCTAAACAGCTGCTAGCTAGCTAATTAGCTTGTTAGCTGGAAGAGATAACGGGGTCATAATAAGGCTAGCTAACACCTCAGACATGGTTGGAGGGCTTTAATTGACTGCCCCACTATTTATCTTTTCTTTGCTGCATTTATTTGCTCTATTGAGTCGGTGAGTGACATAAGCTAATGCTAAAAGTTTCAGTGCATGCATGCAGCTATCAGCCAGTGATGCCTAGCTACATCGGAGACAGGAACGTATCTAAGTTCAGGGTAAACACCAACCTTTATAAGAGATGGTACGCTGCAGGCTGGACCACTTTTGTCTCAGCAACCAGCTAACCTTACATCTGAACTCTGAGTCCTGCTACCTGTCTGACTGCTGCTGGGAGTAATTACAATATACCACATGTGTCAGATGCTTGTCTAGACACGTCTATAACTAGAAATAAATCGTAAAAGCAGGAAGAGTTGTGCTGTGTTTTTGTAATTTTGGATAACACCTCTTATAGGTGATGTCTGTCATTATATGTTACAATTATGCAACATCCAGACAACACTAGGACACATCTATATCTGTTTAGAGACATGATTGAGCCCTTTAACTAGAGGATGTTTTGCTTCACTTGTATTTGATTGCATTTGTTTTAGCTTGGTGTGCCTAGTAAACTGTGAACTGAGTGTATATGCACACATATTATTATTATTAATAATAATAATAATATCAGTTGTAGAAATGATTCTGAGAGACATCTGACCTTATAGACCCCATTGTTTCCTAGTGTTTACCTGGTCATAAGCTAATACTTGACCTCTGTATCCCTTTCTCCTCCTAGCCTATGCACACCTGCTGCCTTCTGTGCCACCGAGAATTTAAAGACTGGGGAGCGGGCTCCGTGAACGGACTCCCCGGGGGCCATGGGACCAAGCTGGCTGACGCTGTGCCTGCACTCTCCCAGGCCTTATTGCGGGAGGCGCCAGGGCGCAAGCTTGCTGATGCGGTGCCCTCGCTGTCTCAGTCCCTGCTGGGAGAGGTGCCTCTGTGGATATGTCAGAGCTGCTGCAAGAGTGTGGAAGAGGAGGAGAGGCGGAGCACCCAGGAGCAACCAACGCCGGTAAATAAAAGGGGACTGATTTGGGTCATATGTCTGGATCTTTCTCACGACTTCTTCTTCTTATTTTTTGGTTAAACTGTGTTGGTCTCTGTTGCCTGAGGTAGTTTCCTCTTTATTCATCCTACAAGGCATTGCATTTGCACGTGCTTACTCACTAAATACATCTGTCTAAATGTCATGTTGGATTTAATTAGTGTAAACATGATGTCTACTTTTTGCCTTTTTTGGAAGCAACCTATTTTGTATTTGTGTCTTTGTGGCAAATACAAGGCAGCAGCAGCTGGTATCCTTTCTTTCTTAGTTGTTTTTACATAAATACTTTACATGAAATGCAAATTTTGAAGACATCGTTATCATCATACTGAAGCTTGACTGCAGATGAACGTGGTGTTCAAGATGTTTTGTCGATATTTGGCTTGCAAATGTTTAAAATAACAAAAAAGCAACAGAAGCTGAAAAGTCCCCTGCAGCAGTGTTTTTATTTTAATGTTTGTTTTTTTACTTACTCAAGATTGATAAATGCATTTTAAAGATGTTTTTTGCTTGTCTTGTCATACTCTCTTCTTTGTATTACAAGCTAATACTGGTAGTTACTCAGTGCCAAACGTTTGCCTATGTAGACTGCCCTGAGATTAAACAGTTTTTTTGTGTTTCTTTTTTAATTCAGGTACCATTGTCACACTCTTCCTCCTGTAAGTCGCAGAGCTGTGGAAACGGTTACCCGGAGCAAAGTACTGTGGATTGGGACCCGAGTTCCTTCCTGTCAGCCCACAAACTGTCAGGTCTCTGGAACTCTGCCCACACCAACGGAGGGGAACACTGCAACCACAACACTTCTTCACACACACAACAAGGTCTGTCATCACTGGGAAAACCACAAAACATTTA